TGTGGCTGGGGCAGGTCCTGCCCAGCCAGGATGCTGCAGGATGGAGCCGCGAACGGCTTGTCTAGGGGCACGGGGAGAGGGGTGGCTACCGCTGCTGTGCACACCCCAGGAGGACATGGGGGGCCTGTGCCCCCAGATCTGCACTGGGTGAGGGTACGCTGCTGGGGCGGTGCCAGGCTCCTTCCAGCAGGGGGTTAGGCCGGGCTGCACTTGGGGCAGGCGGTGGCAGTGCTGGGAGGGGGGCAGGGCTGCAGCCACCCCAAAATTTGCTGTAGCCACCCCCAACCCCACCTCCCAGCACTGCTGCCATCCACCCCGAACACAGCATGGCTCAACCCCTGCCAGGAAAGTCCTGGGGCCACTCCAGCCCCAGTACGCAGCAGCAGCCCACCCTGCTCCACATGCACATCTGGGGGCACACGCCCCCCATGTCCTTCCACGGTGCACGCAGCAGTGGCATCCGCCCCACACCTCCCCGTGTCCACCGGAAAAGCGGCTTGTGGCTCTGTCCCGCGCCCCACCCCAGCTGTGCAGCACCTGCCCCAGCCCTAGCCCCATTCCCTCCCTCACCGCGGGGGCCTCTATCTGTGCCCCCCATGGCCCTTCCCTCACAAGACTTACTGCCAGACCCGGCTGCTCTCCAGCCTGCTGGGCTGCGCTTCTGGCTGCCTGCATGCTGCACTCATGCACGGGTCATTTATCGGCCCCATCAGTCAAAAAAAGCTGCTGGTTGATACTGTCAATTTTCCTTATATTGGTGCTGATCCGATACGGGACCAATGTATCGGTGCACCTCTACCTGCGGCCCTAACAGATCTAACTACTCCAGCAAACCCAGCGTGTAGACACAACATCTGCTAGCAAGAGTCGTTTGGAGATTATACCAGTGCAAGCCTGTCCTTTGCCAGTACAAGCTGTGTCCTCACCAGGGGGCTTTGCTTGAACAGCCTTCCCGGCAGTGCCTTTGCAGTGTCCGCTAGCCTTCTGCATCTTCTCTGACTAGCAAAAGGGGGGGAAGAGGCTAACAAACTTCCCTCCTTCTGTGGATAAGCTCGGTGTTGTCTGCACAACTCGGTGGAAGGCACCATTGAGAGACAATGCATCAATGTCATTACTGTCAATGGACTGTGGAGCCGTCCCCACCACTACTGTACACGCCACTGAGCCCTGGCCATCCAGAGCCGTTTTTGGGTAAATTCCCACCTATGCTGGGAGCAGATGCTGAAACGGGCCATAAAGTCCTCCCTCTGCCTGACTTGTCTTTTCACATAAATGTCACTGCCAGGGACAGCCCTTTGAGGCTGTCCTTGTGGGAATGCCCATACAATGCAAGGCCAGTGCAAGCAGAAGGTTGCACACCTGGGGTGTCAGGGCAGAGCAGAGTGAATGGAAGCAAGCTGGTGGAGCGCCTTGCTTTCCAAGAGCAATGTTTTCTCTAAACCTTGGCCTCTTCACTCATCTTGAACCAATACATGCCACTCTCTCTCACTAGGCTGAAGTTGGGTTTCATGTTTCAGGACATGACAAGGCAATCTGGTACACAGGGATCAAGTCAGCACGAGAGAGTTAGGAGCTAAGCGGTTAATGGTTTGCCATTCATACACATTGCAACCACTGGCAAGTCATGTCAATGATCTGTCCCAGCTTAACCCCCATTTTACAGATGGGGAAAGGTTATTTCCTCATCTGCTTCCCAGGGCTGATGCGAAGAATCATTGGTAAAGATCCCTAGAAAAGAATAAGGGAAGATATGTTAACACCTCCCCTCCCCTTGTTTTCAGATCCCATCCAAAAATCGAAACCTGGGCACTTTTAACCAGCCCTGTTAGCTAGCATCTGACCCCATCGCATGCTGGGAAACAAGTAAAGTGGTGACACTGAACATGCAAAAATCAACTCTCTGCCACTTACTCTTCCATTTGTTTCTCCCTTCCACCATCCCTGGTCCCCGCCTATCCTGCTGTAGATTTTCACCACGTCACCCTCTCGCAAGGAGAGCTCCCGCATGTCCCGCGCTGCAAAGTTGTACCGCGCTACTGCCGTCCCTATGACGCGAGGTGTGAACACTGTGGGTGGACGAGGAAAGGGGATTAGAAGCTGGCACAGCTGTGAGAGGTCAACTGAAGCCTGGGCAAAGCTAGACTAGGTTCAATCTGGGTTTTCACCAGAATCCTCTTTTCCACTTCAAGACCAGGGCAGCAAATCAGCTCTGTGGCCTGAGAAAGCAAATCCAGTATCAGGGCAGCTCCATTTTAATTCTTCAGTCACATTTGTATGGGAATCACAGGGCTGTAGGAGATTTCCAATGTTGGGTTTTCCATTATCAACATCTCACTGATCTCTTAATAAGTCTCGATCAGCTGTACCACTCCATTAGTCACTGGATGGCCGGGAAGGGGACTGTCTATTAGGGGATATTACCTTCTCCTTGAGTATTGCTGAAGGTGGTTGGGTTGAGAGCCAGCTCAATGGGAAGCAGGATAAAAGTCAAGGTTTTATAGGAACAAAGGAAACAAAGCAACAAAAACATATATTTCAATGTTATTGCCATCGTATCTGCAGGGAGGGGGAAGGTTATTGCTCCAAGTGCCCAATGGGCTGCTCCAAAGGGAGATTTCAGAAAGGAGTTTATATTTAAGATCCCTCAGAATTGGGAATCAGATTGATTCTTTCAAGGCAAGCTCAGCAATACCTGGGCATTGGGATACAAGGCCAATTACTTAGCTTGATAGTAGCTGGGATGGTGGTCTTGGGAAAAGGGTCCCAGGTTTTTGGGTCGTGGAATAGGGTCCATCTGTGCGACAGTCTCCTGGCAAGGAGAAAGCTCTTCCTAATCCTAGCTGGTTATAAATGTATGCTCCAAAGCATGAGGTTTGAGAGGCTCTATGATATCAGAGGAGCCCCCAATTTTAATCCAGTGAGTGGGGCAGCGAGTTGGGGATCTGGAGTGCTAAGAATGAGCAGGAGCTGGTCAATGCTTTCTAACATGCAAGCAACATTCATGGCTAAAATTGTCTCTGGGGCTGGGAACTGAATCGATATCAGGTGGCAGCACCAGGTGGAGTCCTCGGTGGCTAGGAAGAGGGAGAGTGGTTTCCTTTGGCACAGAGGAGCAGAGGTCAAAAAGGTGAGGAGTCGCACCTGGACCCTGTGTGCTGGCAGAGGGAAGTGGGGGTTTAATGGCATAAAGGGATGTGACTTTTGTGATGGTGCTTTCTCCTTGTCACGAGATGTGCATGCTGCAGGCAAATAAAGAAGGAGAGAAGGGTCCTTTCTGGAGATCTACAAACGTGCTTACATTTGGTTTCTATCAAACAGTCCTCGAGTCTGAGGACCTTCTAGCTGAACTTAATACATTTCCAGAGGTTTCTGCAAACCCAGGTTGAACTGGCATTGGGTGAAGAAAGCTTTGCCCAGGTCTCCAGCTCTCAGGATAGAAGGAAATGAGGATGGCAACAGAGATGATTAATACACAGAAAATACAATTACTGCAAGGCTCGTTCTTCCTATTCAGGGTGCCAGGCTAGAGAGTGGAGTGTGAATTATGAAAGCTTTGAACTCTTTCATCAGCAGCTGGCTTTTCCAGCAAATTTTAGAGGGGGGAAAGAATTGCTTTGTAAAATGACATACAGAGCTCAGCACAATGAAGCCCCAAATCAGGGTGCCAAGAAAGGACTATTTTTAACCTGACAAAAAACCCAATAAAAATGCCTCCACCTTTTAAAATAATCCAGTACCAACAGCATCTTTTACACTTTTTTTGTTCTTGGGGAGTTTGCAGCACTCAGGAGCCCGGCTTTAATTTTTGCTGTCCAAAATGAAGAAAAGGCCCAAAGCTAAAAGAGCTGGAGCCCAATTTGTTTCTTAAAATGCATTTTTGCATCTCATCTTTTAACACATTTCTGGGCAGACCAGAAAAGGAGGCTGCTTATTTGTAGCACGTGTGAGCCGACAGGGTTTAGTGATGAAGACACCACCCCGCTTCCTAAAGAGTATGACTTCAGCATAGCAGGTGTTGACCTCTTGGGCTCTCCGCGGCAGCACTGATTAAAATGCTGCAGAGCAATGCTGATAACACCAGAGTTCAAAACTATTGGAAATGTAACCCTTCTATAATTACGGCAAGGAAAAACAGGGCTTTACAATGGTGAGATGGCAATGTCCGTTCTCAGAGACACGCAGGGAAATCCGGTCACGCTTGAAGCACGCAGTCAGATCCCAACGTATTAGATTTGCATCTTTTTCTCTCCCCTCTCTCCATATTTTAATGTTTCCCTGGTTATCCTTCCGCCCCGCCCCCCCCCCCCCCCCCCCCCCCCCCCCG